TCAGGAATTCTGGGAGTTGAAGTCCACAAGCATGGCTGGTTCAGGAATTCTGGGAGTTGAAGTCCACAAGTCATAAAAGGGCCATAGTTCCCCACCCAGTTGACATTATGGTGCTTTTAAGGGGGCCCTGGGATATGAGCATTTGATTTTGGGTGCCCCCCAAACATGGCCAATAAGACTTTTCTCCCTTTTTAAAATAAGCTGCTTTGTCAAAGAGATGGAAGGCTGGGTTCCATTCTTGGCACAAAGTGTCTTGTTCCATTCCACCCACTCCCAGCAAATGTCAGGAAGACTACACAATATACTACACAAATATAGAACAGCCCCGCCCAACATACACATCACTTTTGAAGACAAAAAATAAATAAATCCAGGCTTCACAGTCTTTTAAGAGGTAACCATGAAGAGCACAATTTGTTTTCTTGATTAGAGTATATGTTCAACGATAAAATGGGGAAAAGGCTGACATTTGGTTCCTCTATTTTGTAAGCCAGCATACTAAAAAGCAGAGACATTCCCCTGCCAACAAAACTGCGTAGAGTCAAGGCTCTAGTTTTCCCAGTTGCAATGTGTGGCTGTGAAAGTTGGACCATAAGGAAGGCTGAGCGCCAAAGAATGGAGGCCTTTGAACTCTGGTGCTGGGGAAGACTCCTGCGAGTCCCTTGGACTGCAAGGTGATCCAACCGGTCAGTCCTAGAGGAGATCCACCCTGACTGCTCTTTAGAAGGCCAGATCCTGAAGAGGAAACTCAAAGACTTTGGCCACCTCATGAGAAGGAAGGACTGCCTGGAGAAGAGCCCGATGAGGGCAATAGAAGAAGAGGACGAAGGAGAAGGAGGTGGCTGGAAGGAGTCACTGAAGCAGTAGGCATGACTTAAATGGACTCCAGAAGATGGTAGAGGACAGGAAGGCCTGGAGGAACACTGTCCATGGGGGTCATGATGGGTCAGACACGATTTCTCCACTAACAACAACATTTTGTAAGCATGGCTGATGTACTTACTTTGGCCCTGCAGACATCACTGGACAGCTCTCCTCTGTGCAGAAGTCTGTAATTGTCCCATAAAGCATGTTGATCTGGTTAAAAAAGTCCACAGCTGTCAAAGAAAGAAAGAAAAAACACATTCCATTTAGCAAGCAATTATTAGGGGAAAAATTCCTCTGCAAACCAAGCAACATTCTGTGTCTTTTTCGGCCACAGGGTCCACAAGAAACGGTCGTCAGAAATAAGCCCAATGTTTTTTAGAAAGGTCTCAAGAATCGGGATAGAATGACTCACACAATTGCAGGTACAAAAATTAGATTTACTTAAAGTAAAAGTGCCCATAACAGATTTCTCCAGAATTCCAGTCTGGTCCATTAACTTCCTTCCCCTCACATTGGCCCATTTCTGGTAACTATACGAGTTGTGTACTCTGAAAAGTTTTTTCAGGAGAAGAGGAGGATTAAAAACAATTTGAAGCAGGCCCTGCAGCTCTTTCCAAGAGTGTATTTTTGCTGGCATATAGTTCAGGTTGCGGCTGCATCTCTTCAAGAAGTTAACAAACCAGTGACAAATTAATGAAGCCCGTTGGAATGAATGTTTTACCTGGACACGAAAGGCCCACATTTCTGATTGAATTCACATTGGCAGAGGTTGAGCAAATCCTTTCTAAAAAAGAGCCAGAAATCCTTCGTGCTTTCGACCACCTCCTCTATCATTCAAGCAGAAAGCTACTGACATTATATAGAGTGGCTTGCTCTCGTTCGGCTCTTGCAAATTTTCCATTTGTTTTTCGGCAGAACTGGTGCTTACAAAACTGTGCAAAACTGAGGCTTTCATCAATTAATGCCTTAACAGAGTATCTATTTTTTTAAAAAAAACACAATTTTCGTTCTGACAGTACAGAAGCTAGGAAAATACAATGTCCTTGAGACCGACAAGGATAATATTCTATCCTGCAATCGTGAAGGTGGTTCTTTTCACTGCGAGTTGGCTCTTTCAAGTCGTTTGCAGACTTCTATCTGTAAATTGGCCTTGAAAAGCCAAACCTCTGTAGTTTTTGTTTTGTTTTAGTTTGGCTGCAAAAATATCTGTCCTACAACCAATGGCTCTCTGGGAAAACAAAGCCTGACACTTTCAATGCCGCTGCCATTAATCTACTGCCAGTCGGATCATTTATTTAGCAAAACACTCACTTTCTTCAAGGAAGGTGTGTATGAATGGAAGTTCCTGCAATCCAGATTATTTATTTCTGTCCAACTGAACTCAATCAAAATGAAAAGAGGAGCTGAATATCCCAAATGATCTGCCTCTCCAAAGAGATTCTGCACTTGTGCGGCCAGCCCTCAAATCTAAATAGCATTGTCATCGCCTATTAAAAAAATATCTATTACTTTAAAATAAAATGACAGGAGTGCCTCTGGCCATCCTTTTCACTTTTTTCCCAGCAGCCATATTTACATGGACTAGTAATCTGCATAATAATCTTATATATATATAATATATATAATGGCTGTGTTTGTGTGTGTGTGTGTGTGTGTTCCAGCATAACTCTGGAACGCCACGAGCAATTTCAACCAAACTTGGTACACAGATTATTTACTCTCTGGAAACAAATACTGTGGGGGTAAGACACCACTAACACCCCTCGGGGTGTGTGTTTTGTTAAGATACAGCCTGTTGTGCCTTAAAATAGCTTCTACCGTACTGCCTTAAAATGGCTTCTACTGTACAGCTCTATGGAGTTGCCATGGTAACAGCTTCATGGTACTCTACAAGAGCTCTCTCTGGTAAGGGGGAAAATCCAACATTAGAAATTACATTTGTTCTGGATTGTTGCTGAAATCAGGGCTTTTCCTGCCTAATACAGGATTAGGATAAATAAATACCCAGGCAACGCCAGGTTATCGGCTGGTATATCTTAAAATTGTTCTTCATCATTGATATAAACATGAAGACTGCTTCTCATCCATGTCTTTGCCACAGAGAAGATACAGACTTCCTCTCTAGACATCGGGGAATTGCAAATTCTGGATACACTGAGGTAATTCCATGCACGCCCTTCTGTAAGGAGGACAGGATGTATTCCAACAACAGTTTTCAAAACTTCAGAGCACAGAATAGAACTTTTGTGTATTAGTCCATATTTTATCAATGGTTAGCTGACAAGAACAGAAGTTAGAAACATGGAACTATAAGAAAAGGAATAATGAAAAAAAAGGAGGCTTGTTAAAATGGTTAAGCAAATATTAGTATTATTATTATGATAATTACGATAGAATGAATATCAATGTAATGAATATTGTTGTAAACACTTTTGATAATTATTTCTTAAAAATATTTGTACCCAGGCAACACAATGTTTAACCCAGGGGTCTCCTGGCTGGCTGAGGAATTCTGGGAGTTGAAGTCCACAAGTCTTAAAGTTGCCAAGGTTGGAGACCCCTGGGTTAACCAATAATGGAATTTTTATATGTTATCAGATAAAAATTTTTATGCAGACAAAAAACTTTTGTGCATTAGTCCAGAAGACACAAAGTTCTTGTGACCTTTATTTGTGTATACAGGTAGTCCTTGACATACGAGCACAATTGAGCCCAATATTTTGGCTGCTAAGTGAAAGTATGTTGTTCCATTTTATGACTTTTTTGCCAATTTACTTTTTTTTAAAGCAAAAAAGACAACCAATATATGATAAGAACAGTCATTTCTTTTTCCTTTCATCAATCTGATGATGATGATGGAAGAGGAAAAGCGGTAAACCTGACCAGAGCTGTCCCAGTTTATTGGAACAAAAAGTGACTTCAAGCTCTTGGAATTTACCCATTTGGCTTAAAACAATCAACTATGAGGATAGTCTACTCACTGAAAGTTGAGTAGCTGAAGGGAATGGCAAGAATGGCAAAACTGCCTAGTCTTTTTTGTGAGTAAACCACAGTGGAAATGAGTAAACGGAGGCCACATGTCCACAAAGAAACATGACTAATTCTTCCTTTAAAAGCATGAGTAGGAAGAGGGGGAAACGGAGGGGAATTGATATTATGTTATTATATGGTCCTTTAGTTTTATGTAAACAAATACTTAGTATTCATTCTTTTTTTTACTGTAGAATCAGTATATTATTAATATTAGTTCTGCTTATTGTGCTTTTCTTTGGTACATTTCAGCTAAAAATAACTAAATCAGGAACCATGGTAACATGGATCCAGACAGGACATCTGGCTGGCGTTGCTGCCAAAACCAAGGAGCAGATTGAATCCAGACAACCGTTTCTTAAGCCAGCTTCGTTTCCAGCAAAGTTCAGAAACGAGGTGAAATTTAATGTTTGTGCTGCGCAAATGTGCCTTATCAAATCGTCCCACCGTGAATTCAAAGTGGGAGAAAATTTCTGGGGTTGAAGGCCACCCTGAATAGCCTTAATTTTCGCTTCCTGTTTTCGTTGAACTGTTTTCTAACCAACGGCTTTCTGCCCTGGTGCTCTTATCCCGTTAAGAGTTCCTTAGACTGTCCGTCATCCAGATGCACGATGATGAGCGTTTTAGAAATATTGTAAAATACAGGTAGTCCTCTACTTGCAACGGTTCGTTAAGTGACTGTTCGAAATTAAATCGGCACTGAGAGGAAGTGACTTATGACCGTTTTTCACACTTCACGACATGGTCAGCAGTCATAAACATTGAGTCAGTTGTCAAACATCCAAATGTAAATCACGTGACCCTGGGGATCAGTATGGGATTCAAAATTTTTTACTACTGGATCTGTGGGCGTGGCTAGGTGGGTGTGGCTAGATGGGCATGTGACTGGGTGGGTGTGGCTTTTTTTTTTTTTGCAGCCCCTCCCATTTTTGGGGCCTTCTGGGCCTCAGGGAAGGCTGCTGGGGAAGCATTTTTGCTCTCAGGAAGCTTCCCTGGAGCTGAGGAAGGCAAAATATGGGGGGCAGGTGGCAGTGCTGCACCCCCTTCCATTTTTTTTGCCTTCCTGGGCCTCAGGGAAGCCTCCTGGGCGAAGCAGTAAGACAGCGAGGGGAATCCTGGCACAGCTGATCATCGGAACAGCTGAAGCTGATCATCGGGAGGGGGAAAAAAAAGAAATACCTTAAGGAGTGACTGGGCGGGGAAGAATGCAGTCAGAGATGTCGGGCATGCATGCGATGTTGCACATGCGCGATAAGGACTGACTGGGTGGGGAGAGGCAATTGGGTTGGGGGCTTGGCCAGCCAGAAGTTACTACCGGTTCGGCGACCCACACCAAATCCTTGCTACCGGTTCATGCCAACCGGCGTGAACCGGCTGAACACTACCACTGCTGGGGATGATGCGACGGTCGGAAATGTGAAAAGCAGTCATAAGTCACTTTTTTCAGTGCCGTCATAACTTCAAATGGCCACAAAATGAACTGTTGCAAGTCAAGGACTTCCTGTACTTCCTCCTACAATAATATGTCTCAATTGACCAATGCCAGGAGGAACGGATTATGTTAAAGACACACACACACAAAAAGGTGCTTTCCTCATGCATCAGTGCTGAAAAAAATATACACAACCAAAGCAAATTCTCCTTACTGTTCACGGCAACCCATTCATTGAGATCTTCGCCTTCGGGCAGCATAACAGCCATCCGTAAGTTGCCACTTCCGAGAGTTGCCTCCGCATGTTTCAGCAGCTCATATTGGTGGGAGCCTTCTGGAATGTTCTTCTTTGGTTTAAAAGTTTTAGAAGAGCGGCTACCACTGCAAAAGGGAGAAAGGAGATTTTGGCTTCAGAAGATGCTGAGCGCCAGAAGCAGGGAGATAATCTCATTATTCTATTCTCGTACGTTCTTGGTTTTAAAAAAAAAAACATTTCTTCCCCTCACCTTCACAAGCAATATAAAAAGTTACACTAAATAGGATTAATGTCTCTCGGAGGTCAGCATTGTTGCATCCAACCTAGATGACATCCACAGCCCTCCCAATTGATTTTTTTTTAAAAATGATGAAAATAATTATCCATAAGATGGTCAAATCCCCTCAAGGCTTCAATATTCTGAGGTGGAAATATTTTGTCGACCGAAAACACATGCAGGTAGTCTTAACTTACAACCACAATTGACTCCAACATTTTGATTGCTAAGCCAGTTGTTAACTGAGTTTGGGCCCATTTTATGACCTTTTTGTCATAATTGTTAAGTGAATCATGTGGCCATTCAGCAAATCTGGCTTCTCCTATTTACTTGGCTGGTTGGAAGCCAAAATTTTGGTCACCTGACCATGGGGATGGCACACTGTGTGAAGACTGGTCACTTTTTTCAGTGCAGTTGTGACTCTGAATGGTCCCTATACAAATTGTTTTAAGTTGAAAACTATCTGTATTTATTTTAACAGATCTGAAAACAACTCTAGGCAGCATACAGTATTAAGACAGACAAAAATAACAATTAACAAAACATAATGGGCAGAAGAATCAAAGTAACCCCCAAAAGCAAAGAGCCTTCTAAGGAATCCAACTTCAAAATTAGTCCAGAACCAGAAAGCGGACAAGAGATTGACAGATAGAAAGGATTTGTTTTTAAATATAATGGTGGCACGATTAAAAGTTGGACTAGGAATAGAAATAAGAGCAGCGGGGGGAATATTAGTATACGCATTTTTATACAATAAGACAAAAGTAATAAGAAGAGGGTGTCAGGGCTCCAACAAATCCACCCCCATTCGAATCATAAGTCTCTAGCTGCAGCTGACACTAAAATACATCATTCATTTCCCCCTTGACTCTAGTCTTCCCCCCACCTCCTGGATGTATATTCTCCAATGGGACACATCCATAGCTAAGAGTCATCAATCACGCTCTCTAGTAATATTCTTCTGTGCCAGAAGCTTCAGTTACCTAGAAATTATCCATAAGCATTTCAGGAATGCACTATTTTCCCTATTCCCTTTCTGGCAACTAAAAAGACCAAAGAAGTATTTTTTTTTAAGTTGACAGAGGGAAGATTAGAAATTGAATGATGGTATTATTAGGTATATTTAGACAATATTGTGATTGGGATTGGAATAACATATTGCAACATTGAATAATAAAATGATGAAAATCTATAATTTAACACAAATATGTATATTAACATTAGAACTGCGTAAGTTTGAAGAATGTAGAAAATATGATTAATGTAACTATTTTCATTTGTACTAAAATGTATGACATTCAGATGCCACACTGTTCATATATTGATATGGATATATTGTTAAAAAAAAAATAAAAAAATTGAAACTGAAAAAAAAAAAGCCCAGAACCTGAAAAAAAATAAGACATTGTCTAATCATCTTCTTTTAATGACCCCATAATCCCTTGCAGGGTGGAGTCTGGGCAACTCAATGGAGTTGAGTGCTTACTGGCCAGATGCCCTTCCTGTTGCCAATGCAGAGTTTTGTTCAGCAAAACTCCTAATTGTGCCCAGAGAGAGAAAAATCTGCCTCTACCTGGGATCAAACTCACAGCTTCCTGATGGTGAGGCGAGAGCTCCATCTCTAGGCCACAGCACCATTTAGGACATTGTCTAATACAGTGGTAGTCACTGGTCCCCACTAGTGGGCGTTCCAACTTTCATGGTGGGTGGAAGGGGTTTTGTCCCCTACTTTATAAATCACTGTTACTGTGGAACCGGTGGGCGGTTAGAAAATTTTACTACTAACAAAGATACAAAAGTGGGCGGTAGGTATAAAAAGGTTGACTACCCCTGGTCTAATACAACAATAAAAGTATCTTAGGCGTTGATACTTGCCCTCTGAAAATGTTGCTGTGTTATAACATCCTTATTAAATTTATGCTACATAAAGGCAAACCCTACGTTAGAAAGAAATTTGCTTTATATTATATACTTCTCCCTATTCTGGGTTTGATTTAAATTTTCCCAAGGTGGAACAATATACACTCCACTAATTCTCCATCTCCATTTTTTTTTTTTTTTTTGCTACGGGGCAAATATTGACATTCAAATTAATGTGGAATTTTCTGGAGATGGGAAGATTGGCATAACTCCCCTTCATATGTGACCACAGCTACGTGAGACTCTACTACAGGCCATGGCTTCTGTGCAGACGAGGCTACTGTAAAAGGGTTCCTAAACACAGAATAAAAATACACTTCGTTTTCAACAAGTGGGAAAACCTAAGTCAGTTGGAAACTGATGACGCCCAAAGTTATGCACGGGCAAGAAAAATCACAGCAAGTTAAAGCAATGATCTTATTTTTGCGATGAATAAAATGTGGGAAATTATTTATTGTGCTTACATGGCATTTCTTCAAATCATCTAAATATTTAGTCCCCACTCAACATACAATTAAGACTGAGCAACCTCCCAGATGGAAAAGCTTTAGGCCTGGTTCTCTGCTGCTGTTTAAACTCAGGTCGTCCCATGTACCTGATTTTGCAGTTAAAAAAAAAAAAGCTCTCCCCCTAGGTATCTATGGAGATTCATCCAGGTCATGGTTGTCCCAAAGATGCTTTTTCAAGAGGCACCTGGACTTTCTGGGGTGGGTTTTTTTTGCAGACTGTGGATGACCGAGAATCTCCGTAGACATTGAGCGATGGCACGCGGGGAGGAGAGGATAACTGAGAGACATGAATGGTGTGGTCTACGGGGGAGGAAAGGGCCTTGATCCTCTTCATGGGCTGCAGCTGTGAGAACTGGTTAAAAGGACGGACATGCGTATGGGCCAGTGCTGGAAACAAAGTGTGGAAATACCCTGTTTCTCCAACAATACGGCCTCCCCCAATAGGAAGTCCCAGCATGTTTTATAGGCATGAAATGAAATTAAGCCCCTCCCCCCAAATTAAGGCCTATATTAAAACATGCGAAATGGGGGGGGGAAATGGCGGGGGGCGCTTGCCGTTAGGAAGCACTTTTGTTGCACACCCGGATATGGTGCTGCCTGCGTTGACCCCGATACAAAGTGCCCCACCAATGCCGAGGTCAACAACCAAGCCGTCGCCACCCGCCTGCCCAAAGATACAAATGGGGGGGAATTAAGTCACCCCGAAAAGACAGCCTAGCCATTTTTGGGGGGCTCAAAAAAAAAAAAGACCCGGCCTTATGAGAAACACGGTATCTCCAGTTTGTCGTTCCTCTCTGAGTTTGGCTTCCTTCCCAGTGTGCGTTCCGATATCGGTGGACGTCTTCAAGCCCTTATCTTGCCTGGTTCCCTTAATTGTTTCAGTGTGGTTTGTGTTGTTTTTACTCTTTATAATTTATAGGCATTTTTAGTTTAAACGGCATTTCCTCTTTTTCGCAACTGCTTGTGGGGGAGTTTTTTCTGTCTCCAGTCAAGGATATTTGGAGCTTTGAAGGAAAGTGAAGGAATAAAAGGGGCTTCACCTGTTTTTGTGACTGTGTTTATTTTGTATCCCACCCTGGGTCATCACATCTTGCTCTGTGGAATATTCTCCCCTGGAGCTTAGAAAGGCTCCAATCCAACTTGGCTTGAAAAACTTGGCTGTGTTAAGGGTCCTGTTATATCTCAGAATGTCTATTACAAAGCATTGCAATAGGCATTCTGAGATATAATCTTATTCCAAACATTTATGGGGTGCATATCCCATAAATGCTGGGTAAGTAGGCATGTACAAATCATTTCTGAAAGAAAACAGCTGTAGGTGGCCCTCGGCTTACAACAATTCGTTTCGTAACCATTCAAGGTTACGACAGCACTGAAAAAAGTGAGTTATGACCGTTTTCCACACTTATGACCATTGCAGCATCCCCAGGGTCCTGTGATTTACATTCGGATGCTTGACAACTGACTCATATTTATGACGGTTGCAGTATCCCAGGGTCATGCGATCCCCTTTTGCGACCTTCTGATGAGCGAGGTCAATGGGGAAGCCGGATTCATTTAACAACCGTGCTACTAACTTAACATCTGCAGGGATTCAGTGAAAAAAAAGTGGCAAGAAAAGTCGTAAAATGGAGTAAAACTCACTTGATAAGTTTCTCACTCAGTAACATCAATTCTGAACTCAGCTGTGGTTGTATGTCGAGGGCTACCTGTATAGGCAGGTTTAACATCCTATGATTCTACACAGGAAATGTATTTTAGAATTATCTGTCCAATATAGAGTCTATAATATGTTTCTACTATCTTGATAACCGTGCGTCGCTAAGAAACTATGTGGTTGGGCTTAATTTTGGGGGAGGAAAACGGGGGGGAGGGGGAATTCTGCCTCTGCCTACCAGCATCCATTGGTATTCATCTGGCTAGCGTCCTGTCAGTGTGTGAGAGAGTTGAGGGCTGTTTGGAAACTGAAGCAGTATTTGCTGTGTGAGCAAGGAGACAGCAAGGAGCCCGGGCGTGGCTTAGCTCAACTGTTCTGTACTAAAGCTGCTTGGTGCTGTGAAATTGAAACTGAAACTCCTCTCCTTCTGCTTGTGTTTTACATTTGGAAGAGATTTCTTTTCAGGTGGGGAGGGAGAGTAGAATTCTTTAGTATCAGAACGTGTTAATAATAATATACTAACACTCTGATGGTCATTTCAAAAAATCCTTTCTTAGCGAGGCACCTAGAAGCCAAGAGGAAGATACGTGCCAAATTTCAAACTGGCAGGCTTTACGGTTCTGGTAAGAAATGAAGGTTTATTTCAAGTGAGGTTGCCTTATTTCTAGTTTTTAATAGAAGCCAAACCTTCAAGGAAGCGTTAGTTTTAATCTCATTCCCGCTAAAACATCCTTAGGACAAATGCAGGGTCCTTCGACATTT